CAAACCATCTGACTGCCTGGCTAATCAAACTATCCGTCTCTGCAGACATCAGTGAATCCAGCCCCGGACCTGTGCCAGAACCAGTTCATGTTTATTGTGTGAAAACCTTTCAATAAACTCTGTTAAACTTTTACCCTGCTTCCAGTGGTGTTCTGCATGTGGGTTAAGTCTCTTAAGCCAATCATGACAGTCGGGCTATTATTCAACACCAGGACATCAATTTTCAGAGCTATCAGGGTAAACAGGTCATGTAAAAGAAAATAAAAAAAGATTTTATCTGTTCTCCCTTACCAAGACAAAGTAATTTGCTTGGGTGAAAACCATAAATCTTGTTTTTGCTGAATATGACTGTTTTGTTTCTATAGCAGTCTACATAGGGTATAAAAAAAATCAGACAACCATCTCTGATTGGATATCTTAGTCCTAAAAAATAACATCTGATTTTAACAGTACCAAGAACATTTTACCTGAGAAGCTCTAGTTTGCAGTTCTGACTCCTCAACCCAACACAGAGAAGTTCCACTCCTGAGTTCTCCAAGTTGTTGTTACTCAGGTCCAGCTCCCTGAGACTAGAGGACAGGCAGCTGAGAATTGGGGAAAGAGCTTCACAGCTTCTCGGTAAGAGGTTACAGGAATTCAGTCTGAGGAGACAGGGAGAAAAATATCTCATTAAAAAATTCATAAAAGAATTTAGTTTATTTTACCCATATTCTTCATGGAAAAATTTATCTTAATTTAGGTATATCCTTATCACTTGATGTTGTTAACTGTGTTGGGATATATATTGCCACGGATCCTTACTGAGGCGGACTGCCGAAGGACTGAATCCGAACTGCGCACTCCCCTCCTCCCCTCAAAGTAATATCCCTCCACTTTCATTTTTGATGAATTAATGAAGTGCTGCGCTCGGCGGGAGACAGGCAGTTAGGGATTTGAATTAATGCTAATTTTAATCTGTGTTGGTTATAAGAGCTCTGGTTCATTGGTTGAAATAAGTGTGCTGTGAAAGCTGCAATTGATATTTCCTTCTTCTATTTTCTATCCTAATTTCTCCCCTTTCTGCTCTAAGGGAGTTTATAGCTTGCCCAATTCAACCGGGTGTGGTCACATGGTTGAGGACCTACTGTTGCCAATGCCCCCCCTCTTCCTCCCTTTCATCACATGAACAGGGTGTCTCCCATACATCCATACACAGTCACATGTACGTTTCTTCCCCACACATACCCAGCCCTGTTGATGCCATTTTGCTAAAACGACTTCTGCTGCTGTTCTTAATGCATTTTAACCATTTATCATTTTAAGCTGAATGTGTTATTTTTATGTTTTAATTGCACTGTTGTTATCATCATACCTGCTGCTATTCTAACAGACATTAGTGAATGTATTAACATCTGGCCTATCTTGAACAATCTCAGAAGCCAGTTAAACGGACTCTAGGGTTTTCTTTTTTTTTCTTTAAAGTAGTCATTTAGTCTACCTCGTGGTTATTTTCTAATAACCTGTAGTGTTTGCATAGATGTTAGATTTTTGTAATCATTAATTATTAGAATAAAGACATCATTGTTTAACTTGTAGTGGTCTTGTCCGTATCCATATAGCGGACGATTTATTACTCAGGCCAGATCCACCCTCTTTTGGTAACAGTGTAAATAAACAGAGATAAAAGGTTCTTTATTGATAATTAATACCTCTGCTGATAACAGCCTGGGTCACTAGATTGGTGCAGATACTTGCATTTTAACAGCCGGTCCAGGAACCCTCCAGAGGTGAAAGGCATGAACCCTGGTAAGTAAGCTACAATTATTCAACTAAGAAGACTAAATTGATTTGACCTCCGATTTTGAATAGGTTAAATAATTAACTATAACTCCAGTTCAAGTTAATCATTTAATAATTTTCTGCAGGATATCATTTTGCACAACAACTGGCTCATTGTAGATAAACTAAAACCACATGAATCTAATTCACCTCATCACTAGCAGGTTTCTTACCATCAACAAAAAATGCAGTAACAATTAATGTTCTTACAGAGCTTTGTTGGAGGCTTTAACCAATGGCAGCATCTTCAGAAGAACCTCCTCTGCAGATGAATATTTCTTCATGTCAAACACATCCAGATCTTTTCCTGATGACAATAACACGAAACCCAGAGCCGACCAGTGAGCAGGAGACAGTTCTACTGAGCGACTTTCTGAACTCAGATACTGTTCGATCTCCTTCACTAGAGAACCATCTTTCAGTTCATTCAAGCAGTGGAACAGATTGATAATTTTTTCTTCAGGCAGATTCTCATTGATCTTCTCCTTGATGTACTGAACTGTTTCCTGATTGGTCTGTAAATGACTTCCGGTCTGTGTCAAGAGACCTTGTAGTAGTCTCTGATTGGTCTGCAGTGAAAGTCCAAGGAGGAAGCGCAGGAACAAGTCCAGGTGTCCATTTGGACTCTGTAAGGCCTGATCAATAGCACTTTGGTGGAGAGAGTTTAGATTAGGTTTCTTGTTTACTAATGATCTTTTAGATTTATGTTTTTCTTGCATAAGGTTGACACCAGAATTGATGAAGCTCCAGTGAACATGAAGAGC